GGAAGGGCAAATGGAACGTTCTAGAAGGTAAGGTCATTGCTTCCTAAGGTTTTGAATCTTCCCCTCAGCAAACTACAGCCCTGGCCAGAGGCTAAGGCAGAGTAAAGTGGTGAGGAAAGAGGGAAGCAGAGCTCTGCGGACAGGTTAGAACCACCTCCAAGGGAGAGATCAGAGGGACCAGGAGAGAAAGCGGGAGGGAGAGATGGAAAGAGGAAGATGAAAAGAGATAGTGAGTCCAAGAAAGGGGAGATGGGGGTGGGGGGTGAGAATGAGAATGAGAAATGGGAGCAGCAGGGAGGGGCAGATGGGAAAGAGATGCCTACTTCCAGCAAGTCTTAAAAACTACCAGGGTTTTCAGAGCAAGCTCCAAATAAATGTTCTAGGGGAGCTGCACTCACTGAAAAGTAGATTCCCAGCAAATAACAAACTGGACAATTGCTCTAACTTGAAAGTTGTGAGCCTTTTTATATATTCTACTGGGCAGAACATTGTCACTGCCAAGAGTTTTAGTGTATGACTCCAGAATATGCTGTGACATAAAGACAAAAGAAAAAAAAAAAAAACTTATACGGGGTGGGCATAAAGTTCATGTGCAATTTTAAATTTTATGGCCACCTTGTATATAAGATCCTGTGCTTCAGAGCCAACTGATATTCAAAGTAGAATTTCCTCCCAGGCTCTGGTCATCTAGTGTATGTTTTGTTTTCTATGCCAAAATATATATTTGTACTAATAGTGATCAGCATTCTTGAATTAATTTGCTAATGAAGAAAAAGTACACAACATTTTAGTGAAGGCATCATTCTGTGCTTCTGAACGTTACAGTAAGCAAACCCCAAAGACAAGTGGGACTACTTTAATGACTATCTATATAAATTATTTCACTACGTGGCCTTTTTTTATACAGGACATCAGAAAGACCTTTCACAACCGAGTTGTATGCCTCAAAAAATGTTATCAAAACATCTCTAAGGCATTTAATGTTATACATGTATTACATGTATATAACAAAATTAGAAATTCTTCACATTTGGGTCTATCACCTTTACTTCATAATCCCTTGATTTTATGCCAAACTAAATTCAATTTAAAACAATCAAAGATACAATTTTAGTAGACAATAAGGAATGTTGATAAAATTCTGAGAGGTATCTTCTTGAATAGAACACTGGTGATAAAAAATAACAACCCGCAGATATGGTGCTTGGTGGCTAAGATATTCCAGAGACAGCACCCACCTCCTATCTATCTGTATGAAGGAGGGGCTACCTCTGGTGCTCTGCCCACTTCCTGATGAATTTCTCAGCAAGCTGTTGGCTGAGCTTGGATCAGCTCCACTGGCTGACAGATCAGAGCCACCAGCCCGCCCTGCGCCAAGGCCCAACAGTCCACAAGAGGACCTCCCAACACGTACCTCCTCCCTGGGCGCCTGGTACTCCCAGCCAAAGCGAACACAGCTACACAGAGCTGAGCTGGGGGCTGGACACTGACTAGGATTCTCTCCCTGACCCAACTCTAGCCAGACTCCTTGGAGCCCCTTCTTAACTAAGCTTCAACTTTGCCCTATAAAGACTTGAACAAACTCTTGACAATCAAAGAAACAATTTAGTGGACAATAAAAAATGCTGATAAAAATTGTGAGAGGTATCTTCTAGTTGCTAACAGCTCAAGGCCGCATAGCTAAAGTGCCTGCCTGAGAAAATTCTAGGCTGGCAAAAGCACACACTGTTCCAGCCAACACCTCAAGTCAGAGAGCTCATATCCCAGGCTCTGTGGAAGGTGGGGACCTACACACATGTTCACAAGCCCCCATGGGTGCTCCATCAACCGAACACCCCTGCCTGCTGCTTGGTGTAATTTTTACACTTCTCTGACTCTCCTGAGTCCCCCCCCTCCAGTCGTGCCCAGCTCACCGCCTCGCTCTTCTTTTAAAACACTCAGTCACCTCTGCACAAATCAGAGTTGAGTCCATTTCATGCTAGACTCTCTTCCCTACTGCAATAGTTACTACTGAATAAAATCTGTCATGACCCCTGTGACTACTGTCTAGCCTTGTTCATCTATGACAGCACACAGCTGATCCAACTTTTGGATAAGACAAAGGTTTGCCCAGAGGATAGGCCGGGAGGCACGGGGGCACTCACTGGTCCTTACAGTCCTCACTTCCATGTCCACACTGCACATCAGCCTGTGTCCAGGCAAAGATCTGATGTCACTCCCAGGGTTGCCTCCTATGGCTAGGGCCCACTGAGGCCAACAAGCTGTGTTCTAGCCCAGCAGAGCCAACCCAGGGCCCCTATATGGTGACTGGAGGGAAGACCACTAACCTGACCCCATGTTCTCCCCAGGGGGATGGATGCCCCCTCACCTCTCATTTCCGTCGCTGAGGAGCCGTTGGACCAAGCCGTCCACTTGTTCCTGTGCTTGCTGATTTCCTGGACTTTGCAGACATAGTGCCCTTGGTCCGCTGGCCTGAGCGTCAGGACAGAGAGCCTATAGAGTGCCCCCCGCCGTTCTTCAAGCAGACGCAGCCTTTGCCGGTTGGCAGTACGGCTGAAATTCCCGTAGTACTGAACCATCCTGAGCTTGGTCATCTTAACCATCAAGACCTCCTTGGAGTCAGAGTGAGCGAAGAACCAGCGCACGGCCAGCAAGCTGTCCTTCCGCCTTTTCTGGGAGACGTGACACAGGAGAGTGGCATTTTCTCCCTCCAGGTAGTCAACCACAGGTCCAGGGGACACGGTAACATTGAGGGCTCCACAGACCTCTGCAAAGAAAAAAAGGGAAAGGAGAAGATGAGGATAGCCCTGCATCCCCATGTGGGCAGTCCACAGTCAAGGAGCCAGAAAAATGCCCAAGGCCATGAATGTGCTAGCACTCTGCACGCCCAGTGAGGCAGCAGCCCCTGCCCCCGTCCAAGCTGGCACTCCACACTCCTGACGGCCAGAGGATGGGTTCTTCTGGGTCAAGTCTCCATGGGTCCCCCTTTCCCACCCATGGGTCCATATCATCCACATGGGATGCTAAACTCTGACTGCCTGGCCTAGAAGTATTTTGCAAACTTTTTTCAGTCACTGGCATTTAAAATTCAGGAGACTTCACACAAAGATTTGGATTTTGTCATCTCTTGAAAATTTTTTACCTCATGCCCAATCCCCCATTGCACCCCCATTCACCTCCCCAAACAGGCTTCAGTTGGTTTTGTCACCAGCCTGATGTCAGCAATGCCGAGGGTCAGAGCGGCTCGGGCAGGGCAGGGCAGGGCTGCCCTCTCTGATGGCTTGTCAGCTATCTCAGCTGTAACCAGGGCAGACTGCTAGGAGACTGTGGAGTCAGTTAGCATGGTCAGTGAGGTGCTAAACTAGTACCAGTGAGCTTAAACGACAGGAGCGGCTCAGTTTCTTCTTTGACTCAGGGCCCATGGTCTCAGAGTTAATGTGCAAGAATAAAGAAGGATTAGGCCCCAGGAACAGGGAGGGATGAGAGATCCTTCCATCACCCCTGAAAGATGCTTTGGAATTCCAGGTCCAGTGCACTATTTCCTGTCCTTTGGTTTCATAGTTTAGAACCAGCCCAAGGGCTGCCTACTCCGAGCCACTGTTCTGCCTCTAAGCTGATGGAGCCACCCAGCACCCACCCAACCATCCCAACGAGCAGACTTGGGAGAGGCTGAGCACTGCCATCTTTTCCCAGGGGCTACTATTCATGGCACACCCTGGGCCACTCAATGCAGCCAGACCAATGCTTGGAGCTCACGGGCAGACCAAGAAAGGATCCTGCCCAGGATGACCAGAGATTTTGCTATTCAATGAGGGCTATCTTCTCACCAGGTCCCACACTCTGGCACTGCCCAGTACACAACTCCAGGAGGCCATTCACTGCCCACCTCCCTGCACAAGAAAGTAACCCCCAGTTATCCCAAACCACATCCTTCAGCCCCAAATGTCACCTTCTACTTATGTAAAGGTCAAGGTCACCAAAAGCTTTGACCCCAGTCAGTGCTACAGGTAAGCAAGGAGGAAGGAAAAGGAGATCAAGAAAGACCCAAACATTCCACACGGAGGCTGTGTGGGGGTCAGCAGAGGGGCAGCCCTGTGGCCGAGGGAAGGGGGACAAATATTCTTCACTGTAAAAATCCAGGCAATAGAGCATCCTCTGATATGGCTTCTGCTACTGACTTAAACTGAATACCTTGAGAGAGATAATTTGAGTCAATTTTCTTTCTCATTTCTTACAAAACAGGCACCAACCCACAGGGCACTTGAAGATAATCTAAGATCTTTCACTTAATCACACCCAGAAGCTGCCTTTTGTCATATAAGGCAACATTCACAGGTTCCCGGGGTCCGACACCTCTGATATGTATGGAAATAAACTCAGAAGAAAAGGGTCCATGCTCAGCTGGACTCTGAGCTCCTTGTAGACAGGCATGAGGTCTTCTATGTCTACAGCAATGAGGGACAAAGCTGGACCAGTGAGCGACTTGGGAACTACAGATCAACAGGAAGCCAGGGAGGGACATGCTCTCTAGTAACAATCCCACTGTCATCAGAAGTCATTCATCTAGGGCAAAAGAAGAATTGGCCCCACCATGCCCCTTGCAGCTCACCCTCCTGTCAGGCATTTTGCCCATAAACTGCATTAAATTAGTCGGGCAGCGTTTCTTCCTGACGCTCAGGCCCCATGTCCACACCGCCTCCATGGTGGATGCTCCCCCGTGAGGAATGTGGCACTGGAGACACCAGGCTGACCCAGCTCCAACAGCTGCTGGGGCTGGGCCGGGGGAAGAGCGCAGCAGAGACGCAGCAGCTGGCTCCCAGAATTGAAGTCAGCCCACCCCGCCCCTGAGAGCTCCCCAGTGGAGTCCAGGAGAAATGGGGAAGGCAGGAAATTGAAACAAGATGGGTGGGATGAGAGCACAGCCGGGACCCCAGGCCCCAGGCTCCTCCTATTAACGCTGCAAGAAGGAGGGATTATTTATAGTGACTGAAACCAAGAGAATGTGCCAAGTGCTCCCTCCAGTCCCCCACGGGAGGCCAGATTCCATCCCGGAGACTAGTAACCCTTCCACTCCTGCAGCCAAGGCCCAATTAGAGACTCCTGGGAGAGAGACTGGATTGAACTAGCTCCCCACGAGAAGAGGAACTTTCTTTTTTTCTTTATAAAGCACACCTCTTTATAAGCACACCTCTCTGCCTCTCTGCCTC